ACTTATAGGGACACGATAGCTTTCTTGTAAACTTATAGGGACACGGTGGCTTTCTTGTACACTTATAGGGACACGGTGGCTTTCTTGTACACTTATAGGGACAAAATCGTTTTCTTGTATACTTATAGGGACGAAATGGCTTTCTTGTACACTTATAGGGACACGGTGGCTTTCTTGTACACTTATAGGGACGAAATGGCTTTCTTGTACACTTATAGGGACACGGTGGCTTTCTTGTAAACTTATAGGGACACGGTGGCTTTTTTGTACACTTATAGGGACGAAATGGCTTTCTTGTACACTTATAGGGACACGGTGGCTTTCTTGTATATTTATAGGGACAAAATGTCTTTCTTGTACACTTATAGGGACACGGTGGCTTTCTTGTACACTTATATCAATTATTTCTCATTGAGTTTTTAACATAAAGTAAAATACACCTCTTTCTAGATTTAAAGCAACTGTTACATCTACAAGCATGTGATTAATAATCATTTATTCTCTCTTCTCCTTTAAATAAGGACCGGGCGTGGCCAAGTGTTTAGTATGCCGCGTACTGTAACCGCAAAAAAATTCGCGCTCTGCACCTTAGAGACGAGAGTGTGTTATAAGAATAAAAGTCAAATCCTATTATTCGGTCCGGCAAGAGGAGCTTAAGAATTGGCGTTGGTTTGTGTTGACTAGCTACCTTCCCTCTAGTCCATCATTGCTAAATTAGGGATGGCTAGCGCAGATAGCCCTCATGTAGCCTTGTGCAAAATCCAACAAATAAACTCTTATATAAACACACACACATATGTGCGTTTGTATGAGTAAAGAGCTCGCTATTTAACATGTACACGAATGCCTACATTTAACTAACTTACCCCAGGTGTATTCTATGTATGAGCATTTAATTTACAACAACCAAAGCCCTGTCTACTTCTTCAATTATATGTCATTAAGAAATAACGACACAGACTTTAAAAATGAAATGTTTTAATGCATACGGACCCGGACTGTTATTAATAGGCTTTGTTCTAACAATGACCATAAATGAGATAAGCTCATTAATTGACAATATTATTAAGTAGCTTATACGAGTGAACAGTATTAGCTGTTTAATTGGCCGAATCGAAAGTGTATTAAACGATCTTTAGACATTCTCTTTCATGTGTACTAGCTTATCGAAAATTACCCAGAAGTCCCTATTCACCCGTAGTGTGTCATGGGAAAACGCAATCTTCGTATCTATCTCGCCAACAGAGCTTGGAAATCCACTCGACTGACAGAGATAAATGCTTTAAACCTTCTTAGTTATTCAAGAGAATACTCCGAGCTGTTTGAAACGTTTCATTGATTAAACAATTTATTTAACTGGATGGCCCTTTGAGGAAGCCACCCGGAGGCTTAGCTAATTAATTAAAAATAGTGTTTGTCAATTTGTAGCAACTTGGGTCAAGTAAAGCGTTTTGTACGAGAAAAAACGAGACTTTACGTAGAAACAAAAATTGAAAAACGTGCAAAGTAATTCATGTATGTGAAACCTATAGGGAGATTCGCTGTTAAAATATCGTTGGACAACTCGATGTTATTATTATTATTATTATTACTTTCGTATTCGATGGACTACAGAAATAATGACTCCTAAGTTTGTTTTGGATGTTTACGAAAGGCTACACAATGGCTGTCTACGCTAGCTATCCCTGATGTCGAGTTGGTAGACCAGAGGAACGACGGACAGCTGGTCAACAACATTGTCCACCGCCAAGTCTTGAGCTACTCTACTCGAACAATGAGATTCGACCATCACTTTTTTTAACATTCCCAAGAACCACAAACCCTCGGATTTGTAGCCCAGCAAACTAACCTCTTTCCCACGTGCGCGACACTGTTATAAAGAGAATAAATAACTTGTTTGTAGTTCAGAGCTGACGAATCGGGATTGAATCCGTACGAGTGTTGAAATAGCTCTTCTGGTTGGACGTCTTGTAGAGTTATAGATTTCAGAGCTGACGAATCGGGCTTGAATCCGTACGAGTGTTGAAATAGCTCTTCTGGTTGGACGTCTTGTAGAGTTATAGATTTCAGAGCTGACGAATCGGGATTGAATCCGTACGAGTGTTGAAATAGCTCTTCTGGTTGGACGTCTTGTAGAGTTATAGATTTCAGAGCTGACGAATTGGGCTTGAATCCGTACGAGTGTTGAAATAGCTCTTCTGGTTGGACGTCTTGTAGAGTTATAGATTTCAGAGCTGACGAATCGGGCTTGAATCCGTACGAGTGTTGAAATAGCTCTTCTGGTTGGACGTCTTGTAGAGTTATAGATTTCAGAGCTGACGAATCGAGCTTGAATCCGTACGAGTGTTGAAATAGCTCTTCTGGTTGGACGTCTTGTAGAGTTATAGATTTCAGAGCTGACGAATCGGGCTTGAATCCGCACAAAATATTCCTCGCACTTGAAGCTTATAGTGCGTCATAAGAGTAAGAGTCAGTCCCTTACCATGAATGGTGGGCGATGAAGTGACGGCGACAGAAGGCAGATAGACTTACCAGCCATGAATACAAATACCCATACAAGATGGGATGACCTGGAATACGTAATGATAACCAAGCCACAACTGAACGGTTACAAAATTAGAGAATACAAGTCCTTTTCTTTGTTAGCGGAGATCAAGTCAATTTGAACATTATATACATACGTGCGAACGTAAAATTGGTTTTTGATTAGTAAACAGACTATTTTCCCGACATTTCCAAACTTTTTCGT